ATTATCTTTGTGCACATTTTCTATTTAGTAATAATCACTTTTCTTTTTCGTCTCATTACCAGCTTTCCTACGACTTCAGCAGAAAATATTGTCCCTTGACTTTGAACTCTTGTCCTCTTGTTATCATCCTCCATTATGAAATAATTTCTTGGGAGTACAAAGATGAGCTTGGCAACTGAGAAGGCTGTTGCAGTGACAGCACAATTTGCTTGAGAATTTGTTTCAGGCACACAAGAAAGAGAGAGAAAGAAAAAAAAATACAATCGTCCAGGATTGCATTTCTACAGTATCTTAACTAGTTCAGTCCCTGAATCATAAATCACAGCGTATAGCAGAAAAATGATAATGAAAGAAATTATGTTATGAAGTGTATGTTACTTTTATTGTGTTATTTCTATTGAACAGAATTTGTTTCAAAGGGGATACAGTTAAGCACACACATACAGAGGAAGATGAACTAAAACAATAGAAATTAAAGTCAAAAGATAAACAAAACAAAAAAAATCTGAATAGGACCCACACATATCTCTGGGAAGATGCTGTTCTTGAAGACAGGTACCACACCAGACAAAATCCATTTCCTGGCTCTTATTAGATGGCATTGTTTAATTAATGGGACCATTTAAACAGGTCACACAAAAATATTTCTCACCATTGTCTCTAGTCCCTGTTCTTCCTTTAACTCTCTTCCATTCTAGGTTATTTTTTTAGATGTTCAGAAAAGTACTGGCTTGCAACCACCCATCTCTTTTATTTTTATATGGCACCTTATAAATTAAATGGCATGCTTATATAATGCACTCTTTTGTTTGCTGGGGATATGTTTCTTAATTTGTTTAAAATTAAAAATATATATATTGCTGTGGGTACAGGTGTAATAGCAATAGCAATAGCATTAAGACTTATATACATGGATGGGATTCTACCAGTTCTGATCAGTTCTGTAGAACCCCTTGTTAACTTTCTAAGCAATTCTGAGAACCGGTTATTAAAAGAAATCTCCTTTTGTTTTTTTCTTCCCTTATTACATTCTTAGCAGTATGCCTAGACTTACTGTCTCTGAAGGAGGTTTTTTTTTCTTTCCTGGTACTTTCTTAAAGGGGAAGGGTTGTTTTAAGCTTTTTACACTGCTGTTGGGAGGAAATACTCTCCTGGAAATATTTCTAGGCGGCATGCAATGATCAGCACTTTGAAGAAATCATTGAATAATGAAGCAGAGCTACAGAAAGAAGCTTTTAAATTACAAGGAACCAAGATGAGTGACATTCAGCTTCTTGGCTAGCTAGAAAGATTGACATTCAAACATGAGTTTACATACCCTTTTGGAGTTTTGGTCTAAAATTGGTTTTTGGTGATGTTTAATCAAGTGCTTATTGATGGGATAATTTTCCCTATTCAGCTTTGTTTGGAAGGAAAAGGGTTAATCTCTGTTCCTGAAAAGAAACTGGTTTGAGAAATCTGGCTAGTTCCTATGTCTATTTGTTCTGTAATTGGTTTAACAAGCAACAGCTACTGTTGTGATTTAATTACTCGTATTGTGTTTGAATTTTTTCTTGCCTCATGGTTTCTTTTTCTATCTGGGGAGGGAGTCTTCCTTCACTGCTTTAGTGGTATCTGGCACTGTCCTTTTGTGGTGTACTTCCAAGAGGCAGGATGCTAGCCTGACACTGATTTTTTTACTGTCTTTCTGGGGGCATGTGACCTTTCCTTAAATCTGGATGATTTTCTTAGGATATCTTGTGAGGTGAGTGAGACCAGCCAGTATCTTTAAGTGGTGCAAATGGTTCTAAGGATTGCTTTTCCTGGGTGTGCTTTTTCTGGAGAGCTTAAATGATCTCTCTGCTAAAGGGTTTCACTTTATGAGCAAGAGTTGGTTGCTGATAGTTATCATTGCATTTTAACTATTTTAATTCCTCAAGGTGCTCTGGTACCCTGCCTAATTTATAACTTTGGCTTGCAGGTATTTTTAATCTAATGGTTGGTATTTAGGACAGCTTTTTGCAAACGAAGAAGCTTTTTGTATTTTTGTACGGGTAATCTTTGACTTACAACAGTTCATTTAGTGACCATTCAAAGTTACAATGGCACTGAAAAAGGTGACTTATGACTGTTTTTCACACTTATGACCGTTGCAGCATCCCCACTATTATGAGAGGCCAGGCAAGAAGAAGCACCCCTTGACATGAGTGACACTGAGTTGGCTATGCCCACCCAGTCACATGATCACCAAGCCACACCCACCAACTAAGCCATGCCCACAGAACCAATTGTTAAAAAATTTTAATCCCACCCCCGTTTATATACCCCTTCACAGAGCTTTACGGCCCTCTCTAAGTGGTTTACAGAGTCAACACATTGCCTCCAACAATCTGGGTCTTCATTTTATTGACCTCAGAAGGATGGAAGGCTGAGTCAAGCTTCAGCCAGTGATTTCTGAACTGCCAAACTGCTGGCAATGAGTAGTCAGCAGAATTAGTCTGCAATAGTACATTCTATCCAATGCACCACTGCATTCTTACCACTACACCATTAAACCCCTAAGTTCTAGGAGCAGGGACAGAATAATACATAGTAGGTGCCACCTTGGTAGTAGGTGCCAAGAAAGCTCTTACTGGGTACACTGGATTCCAGGGCACAAGGTTGTCTGCACTGGCTGAGGCCATTCTCTAGTCCTGTTGCCAGTAATCAAAGTTGCATACAAATCTTTTGTGATTTACAGGTAAATATGAAGATGAACTCAAAAGAAAAAAATGATCCCATCTATCTCAACATGGCTAACTTCCCAGGAAAATGGATAGTAGCATCTTCATAATTCTTGGATGAAGTTCAGAGGTGGTATTCAGCAGGTTCTGACCAGTTCTGGAGAACTGGTTGCAGAAATTGTGAGTAGTTCAGAGAACTGGCAAATACCACCTCTGACTGGCCCCACCCCCATCTATTCTCTGTCTCCCAAGTCCCAGCTGATCGGCTGGGTCTTCTTTTGTTGCCCTGCACAGGAGAATGGAGCTGGAAAGCAGATTAGTGAGGTGGGGAGGGAATGGAATTTTGCAGTTCCCCTGGAGTGGGATGGGAATGGAGATTTTACAGTATCCTTCCCCTGCCATGCCCACCAAGCCACACCACACTCACCAAGCAATGCCCACAGAACCGGTTGTAAAAAATTTTTCCCACCATTGATGAAGTTGTAGGTGCTACATCACTCAGAGTTCTGAAGACCAGATTTAACTAATTGATTATGTGCCATCATGTATCACTCTTAGTGACCACATATATATCCCATTGATTATTTGTCCCTTCTCTGGTCTTTTTCAATGTTATATTGATTGAGTCCATCCACCTTGCCACTGGTCATCCTCTTCTCTTCCTTTCCACCTCTCACATCATAATAACCATTTGTGTTGGATAGTATGGGAATAATTCCTTCACTGGGCAGGAAGCTGAACGACAAGAGAATGTTTTCCTTATTTGGTGCATTGATTTGAGTTAAATCTCAGATGTAAATGGCTAACTTCCCATTTTGACCGTATTTGTTTCTAGCATTGAAAAATGATAAATTGTTTGGTGGCTTAAGACCAGAATTCCATAATCAGATATTGTTACTCTTACACTTGATGCAATGGACTTACTCAGTATCTTCCATTCATGTATACCACTGAAATCATGTTAAAGTTAAAAATGAGACTGTTTTAATTCACTAAATCTGGCCTGGTAAAAAACACATGTAACAATTCCAAGAGAGAAGACTATGCTTTTGTCCAGGTAAACTAGTCACATGGACCTGCCTAATCCTGTGTGAGAAGATGTGCATGCTGTCTTCTGCAAAAGAAAATCAATTCATATTGAGACCAAAAATATTTCAGAGGCATCTCTGTATTTTGAAGCCAGCCCAATGAACTTGAAAAAGACCCATGTAGATTGTGTTCAATTTTTCAATGATTTCCTTGCATGAGTCTAGTATCACATAAAATTGGACTTTCACATAAAATGCATGAAAATTGCTTGCATGGTTCAACCACATTGCATTTATAGGGTATCAGTTCTGACCTTTATATTTCCTTCTTTTTTTCTATTGAGAAAAAAGATGTGCCCACCTATACCAATCTTATCCACAAAAATATGGTGATGAAACAAATATTTTCCTTGCTAAAGAAAAAGTACTCCAGAGACAAGAAATATTTTTTTTCTGCAAATGAATATAGATTTTCAAATAAAATGTGGGTGGAAGAATACATATTTTTAGGAGAGACTAATTTGAATTCCCATATTAAAAATACATGGCTAGAAGCATCTGCTTTGTTTTATATTATAACCCTGAGGGATCCTACAAAATGGATCAGAGGCAAAGCACACATCGTTAAAATTAAATGATAGCAGCCAGTTTAATAAAATAAATAAATAAAAGAGGAGGGAATAAATCACTTTTAAAAAATAATTCTTTCTTTTTTAAGCTGGTCATTTTATCTACATTTCAGAGTTATATAAGCAAGATGGACAGTTATATAAATTTACCAAATAAATAAAGTTAAAAGGCTCTAATCTGAAATACACAGTAGACCAGTTTTTCCCCCCCAAACTTGGCAACTTTAAGGTCTGTGGACTTCAACTCCCAGAATTTCCCAGCCAGCACCCCATGTGGGAATCTGAGTAATAAAAATAGTCAAGCTTGCATGAATATATGGAAGGCCAATTTAGCATAGTGATTAAGATTTATTTATTTATTTATTTATTTATTTATTTATTTATTTATTTATTTGTCAAGCAAGTATTAGATAAGTATAAACATGGTTATGAATACATGAAATGGATATGAATAAAAGGAAACATTAGGACCGGGACAGTAGGCACGTTGGTGTGCTTATGCATGCCCCTTACAGACCTCTTAAGAATGGGGTGAGGTCAACAGTAAGTCTAAAGTTAAAGTTTTTGGGGTTTGGAGAAGAAACCACCGAGTCAGTGGAGAATTCCAGACATTGACCATTCTGTTGCTGAAGTCGTATTTCCTGCAATCAAGTTTGGTGCAGTTTACCTTGAGTTTGTATCTATTGTGTGCTCTTGTATTGTTGTGGTTGAAGCTGAAGGATTCATTGACAGGTAGGACATTGCAATAGATAATTTGATGTACTACACTTAGGTTGGACTGAAGGTGGTGTAGTTCTAGGTTGTCTAGGTCTAAAATTTCAAGTCTGTTGGCATAAGGTATTCTGTTATGAGTAGAGGAGTGGACAACTCTTCTCATGAAATATTTCTGGACTTTCTCGACTGTATTAATATCCAATATGTAGCGCGGGTTCCAGACTGATGAGCTGTATTCAAATATTGGTCTAGCAAATGTTTTCTATGCTCTAGTTAGTATTACAATATTACCAGAGAAAAAGCTACATAGGACTAGGTTAACAACTCTTAATATCTTTTTGGCTATGTAGTTACAATGGGCTCTAGCACTTAGATCATTAGAGATGAGTACTCCAAGGTTCTTGTCATAGTGGGGCTCATCAACAAGGTCTTGACTATTCAGCGTGTATTTTCTGATTTATTTTGCGAATATGTAAGACAGTGCATTTGTTTGTTAAGATTTGAAGTTACCACTTGTTTGAACATTCTGACACACAGTTGAGGTCTTTTTGAAGGGTAGCAGTATTGTCAATAGTGCTGAATATCTTTACATCATCAGCAAAAAGAACACAGTTGCTCTTAATATGATCACAGAGGTCATATGATCACAGTTGGTCCTAGAACGCTGGTTTGGGGGACACCACTGTTGACAGGTACAGATGCTAGCCTATAAATCAGGAAACTATAAATCAGGAAGCTGGATGACTTTGGGCCTGCCTTTATCTCTCTTACAGTCCAACCCACCTCATAGGATTATCATTATTGAAAAAAAGAAGTTGTTATGGGAGAGTTAGATATATTCACCATACAGAGAGATTCACACACATTTTCCATTTAGCTGTTGCCTCATTTAGTAACTGTTCATAATTACAATTGTAATGAAAAAGTAACTTTGCAATCTATCCTTTGCTTAAGTTGAGTTGCCAATCGTGATTGCTAAATCAGGAGATTCTTCTATTTATTTCCACCAGTTCTCATTTCACTTGAAGAAAGTGAATTTTCTTTCAATATTTTTCTGAAAAGAGAATAATGTTATGGTGAAATTCTCACAAGGGAAGTTTGGTCATCTTGTATTTCTTCAATCAGGAGATGGTAAGGTACCATCTATTTCATTATGCAATTATTTTGCCTTTCCTGCTCTGACTAATTCCCAGTAAAGATAATCAGAAATGGACCTTCTTAATAGATTTCCCCCCCAGAGTTTACTCCAAAATCCCTCCTTTCCATAGAGAAATTTAGAGGTAGATACCTGAGGTTAAAGGCCTATCTTGGTCACCTAGAGAATGGTTTCGGAGGAAAATCAAGTCCCTATATTTTACAAAATTTAGGACATACTTTTGCTCCTGTAAAAATTCATCAATTATTTCTACAACTGAAATGTAGAAAACAAAGATCCTTAACATTTATTCCCACTCTTTTGGGGTAAAATAAGGATGCTACAAGACAGGAGGTAGCTCCCAAAATGATATAGTTCCTGCTTGCAGTTTTTGAACTCTTGGTTTAGGATGAAACTTTACACTGCCTTTGTTCAGACTTTAAGAAGTTTATTCATCATTCATTGAGAATATGGAATGATATTTTAGAAGTATGAACCCTGACAATAATAACAAAATAACCTAGTCCAACCATTAATCAGAATAATAATATAAAAATACATACTTTAAAAATAAATACAATGAAAAGTATTCTTGGCACTGTAAAATCAATTAGCTCCACAGCCACAATATGTTTGCTGAAATACTGAGAGTCTGAGATAAAGGTGGTACTGAAATAATTAGCTCCCTTGAGCTATATCCTTTTGGGAAAAATAACAGTGCTAACTAAAAAAAATCCAGATTTTATGGCCTCCATAGTATGCTCATTTAAAAGCAATGGACAGAAGGACAGGCATAATTATGTTATTTTCTTATGGGCTCACAATGGAAAATATATCATTACAATGGGTATATTTATCTAGCATCTTACATCTAAAAAGCTAAACGTGTGTTCTCTCACTCTGTCTCATGCTCTGTTTAGCATCAACTAGCTAATTAAAACCCATGATGAGTTTTCTGACACTAAAGGAAAGGGAAGCATTGATGTCCCTCACGTACACAAAAAAATTTCCTTTGTATATAGTGTCAAGATGTAGGAGGAAGTGTGACTGTTGTCCTTAATTAATCTTACTTCTATTGCCACTTCGTTTAATTAATTTATTTCAATTATTTCAAAGGATATTGCGCCTGGCATCTTCATGTCCATATAAAAATAGATGGGGATTTTTTAGATCAGCTTTTCAGTATGTTTATTGAGAATTCCCCTTAATTTCAGTGTCTTTATGCACCTATACTTTTTTAAAAAAAGCTGATCTTTTTCTGGAGCCTGACTTGTAAATATATAAATGGTTTCTCAACTGTGGTATAAATATTTTATTTATTTATTTTCTGTTAGTTGTTAACCTTCCCAGTCAATTTATTTTAGGGAAGTGTGCAATGAAGTAAAAACCAAGCGAACAAATAAACAAAACAGGAAAAAGACCCAATACCAATGCACAATGAGCACCCAAATTGGAGGTGAACGGTGGATGAAATAAGTTTTTAGCAACTTTGCAAAATATGGGAAAGTAGCATTGTGATTATAATAGAGAGGGGCTGCCACAAAGAAAGAACTACCATCTTGTTCAAGTATTGCATATTTTCCCACGGAGAGAAGAAACTCTCAGCAAACTTCTTGGGATGATTAGATTAGACAGATGCAGTTGTTTTGGTTTCAAATTTGATTAAACTAACTAAGTTAAAGTGATGAATTTCATACAATATCTCCATAATATGCCCAAAGGTACCTAGAACTATCTCCACACTTACTCACACACACACACATATGTACCATACATAACCTTGAATATAACCATCTATTGGCTAAATGCTTAATTGCTGTAATGCTGTACTCATTACCGTTTTGAAGATGTTTTATGAAATTAGCTTTGCATATCAAGCTATCTTATTTATCAGTGGTTTACCACATCTCTGTAATTAGATGACTTTTACTAATGTGTTATTTATTAAATATATTTCATGTATTCTGATTGTATTGTTTATATTTCCATTAATTTTGAATCAAGATGAAGGAATGTTCCACTCCATTCCAAAATCTGGGAACACATCCGGGCCTTAAATAGGTTATAGAATATCATCTGAGTGGAAATAATGGGATCAGGGTTCAATACAGATTAAAAAGCCTTTACTGTATTCAGGAAAGATACACAAAAATGAATATATAAAAATAAAAATATACAAAAATGTATATATTTTTGACAATTATATTACTGAGAACCTAACTAAAATAAGGAAACAGCATATATTAGCTCAGTTTCTGCAATAATAGCTACAACAAAATATGTATAAAGGTCATTGGTTTAAGTACACAAATTCCTTACTTTTCTTATTTCAACTTTACAGTATAAAGGACAGGATTTTTTCACATTAATTTGAGTACAATTTTCTGCATGATGAATATTTTCAGTGTGGCTACATTTTCCATATGTTTGCCATGATTTGAAAATACAAAAAGAAGGAAGTTTCAGACTATTTTTCCCATAGCAATGGAGTAAAAACAGATGTTTATGTTTATGTATTTGTTTATGTGCTATCAATTTAAAATTTGAACCTTTATTTACATTAAAGGCTGGAACAAAGAACTCTTTCACATTCTTCCCTAATGAGGTACCATGTAGTGGTTAAAGTGCTGGACCAGAGATGCCCCTTCCTCAGTGACTAAAACTCACTGGGTCACCTTGAACAAATTTTCTCTCAACTCAATTTACCTTACAGATCACTTTTGAGAAAAATTGGTGGAGAATGTTAGGTATACTTTTTAGAACTTATGTATAAAAATGGGATATGAATCTAATGTATGCATGAATAATAAATACTTGTCTAAGAGAGAGGAACCAAAGAGATGGAAAATGTACTTTGTCTGGGAAACAGGTTTTATTATGAATTATGATATGTAGATGATAGTAAAAGCACCCTAAAATGAATCCCACTGGTCTTTGAGCAACTTTATTAAAGTCCATTTTACTTTATTTGTTCAAATATGTGACTCAGTCCAGAGAAGGTAGATGAAGAATTGGAATCTATCCTGGGTGCTGAATCAGCTCTGATGATTTTGTCTCAGTCTCCTATGCTGTCTAATGAAATTGATTACTTGTGCATTCAAGATGGCAATTATAATTATCCCAACAAGTTAAATTCTATAGATACAGAACTGGGCAGATAGTCAAATTTCATCTAATCCAATTTGTGTTGATGCAGAACTTTCATTGATCATTAGCATCATTGTTGGGGAGGTTTTGCTTCAAAACTTGTGTAAAAGAATCCTCTGCCTCCTGATTCAGCCTAGGTCTTAATTTCCTGTCTGGTTAATTTGGTTAATTTCCTGTCTGATCATTGAATTTATTCATGTGAGCTCTATCTTTGAAGGTTCAGATAATATAGTTGTGCTGTTTGTTAGCCATTATATTTTTCTGACTATTATTGTATCATACGTTCATCTTTGTAGGTTAAACAAACCTTCTGTAACTATTCTTTCAACCAGTCACAGTGGAACCTTTATTTAAAAAAAAAAAATCCTATCAGATGCTTGGCATAAACTATTTTCCACATCTTTCCCCCCCCAGCTTCACTCAAACATCTGCTAACTGTTGTTGAAATAGAATATTAGTAACTACAGTTGACAGAAATCTTGTTTAGTCAGTTTTCTTATAAACACTTGATTTGACTATAGATAGTGTTTGATTCAGGCAGAATCTATAAGCTCCACAGTGAACAGTTGTAAGGTGAAGATTTAAGAATAAATTTTAATGCATTCAACTGTAAAATCACAGAAGGTTAACTGGTCTTTAAAAAGTTAAGTGAGATTTGGATGGGTATTTAATGCTTGGATGGGAAACTGATATAAAATTCCAGGACTGTACATAGATTGAAGAATCAAAAGCATGGAATTGGCCAGAAAGAAGGCATGCCATATCACAGCCAAGTTACAAAGAATATAGCATGGATGTGCCTGTCATGCCCCAGCATATAACTTTTATATACTTTTTTATATGTTTTTTTATATGTTGTTGCTCTCTACCCCATCTAGTGCCCGGAGGAACAAATATGCCCCAACATACAATCTTTATATACTGTTGTTGCTCTCTACTCCATCTAGTGGCCAGAGAGACAAATGCCAATTATATTGTTTGAAGCTGACTCAATCCCTTTACCCATCACCCTGCACTCTCAAATAAGTGAACGTTGGAAAGCCAAACTCTATTTCCTTTAGCATTTAGAGAAGGCAGAAGCACAAAGAATCAGTGGCACATGGTCATCCAAGGACAAACTCACATCCCACATACAGAGCATCGTTGGTGAGGTTTAAATTGCTTGTATTAATTACTTTTATGTTCAGTAGTAACTCAATACTGCCTATCTTATATTTGGTTCTCATTGTATGTATTCCTATTTTCCCCAGTTTCACTATATCCTGTTCTTTCAATAAAACATTCAGATCTATGCACATAGTCTGTTTTATTGGAGGATAGGTGGATTTAGCTGCATGTCAAGCTGCACATAGACTAACATGTAGTAAGGACAGAGCAATGCCCATGTAATTACAAAGAGTCAAACACAACTCAAGGGAGACTTTACTTTTTAGATTACAAGTCACATTGAGTCATCCATTTTGTATCTACTGGGCCCCTAAGAATGTCTTTGGATAGGGTACCCAAAACGAGGCTTCTTAATAGGTCAAGAGATTCAAACAATCTTGATTTTAAAGCTAACTGAAACAAGGATACTCGGTCCTGTGTGATATCTCCCACATTTCATTCTGGGTGCTGCCTGAAGTGTCAGACATTTATAGCCTTCAATGTGAAAAAGTCTGGGTGATAAAAAGCAAAAAGGCAAAAATCCTTTCCCTGTAGTTTAATATATGGACATCGTAGGGTAAAGGTGTACCAATATAGCAAAAGAGGATTGAACTCTTTTGTTGGTTGAGAGACAAATAATTAACGAACTGAGGAACAACTGGAATGAAATAAATATGAAGGGACTAGATCTAAACAACTCATCTTGGGCTCTGTCAGAGAAATTCAGAAATTATATTGAGATTCCAGTAAGAAATTCTTTATTTTTTTATTCTTTATTCATTTGTTTGTAAAACAGGTACAAGATAACAAGTATAAGTATGAACATAAACAAGAATGAAGGAAGTAAATACAGATAAATGGGGTCAGTAAGACAGGGATGGTAGGCATGCTGGTGTGCTTATGCACGCCCCCTTTAAGGACCTCTTAGGAATGGGGTAAGGTTCACAATAGACAGTTTGAGGTTGAAGCTACCAGGGGTTGAGGCTGTAACAATGGAGTCAGGTAGGGTAAACCAGGCATTGACCATTCTGTTGCTAAAGTCATATTTTCTGCAATCGAGCTGTTTACCTTGAGTTTGTATCAGTTGTTTGTCCATGTATTATTGTGATTGAAGCTGAAGAAGTCACTGACAGGCAAGATATTATAGCAGACAATTTTGTGAACTATGCTTAGCTCGGACTGCAGGCAGTGCAGTTCTACATTGTCCAGACCCAAAATTTCGAGCCTGGAGTCATAGGGAATTCTATTGCAAGTGGAGTTCTTTTCTCGAGTTTTCTGGATGTTGTTGCTGGCTGGCACAATGATGTATTATTCCCAGGAATCAGAGAGGAATATATTAGAAGTTAAAAGGTCTTTGCCTGATTCAGAATTAGAGCTTATGTGAACTGAACATAGCTCAGCTAAAACATAGTCAAGAACCAAGACAAAGGCCAAGAAACTAGGTAAGTAGACCTCTGCAGATGAGGAGAAGATGGCAGATCAAATGCATGCACTTTGAACATCTGGCCAGCAGTTTTCTGCAAATTTGACTGTCAGGAGATCATGGGATCAGCTCTTTATTCACAATCTTGAACTCACAAAGGACTCTAAGTTCACAAATGTCACTTCCTACTCACTTTCGGAAATTGCTCATTAACTACTTCATAAGAGACTTTCGGAATGACAAGTTTGAACATGTCAAGTGGGTCCTACAGAAGTTATATCAGATATCAAGCACCTCTGAACTTCATTTAGTCTGCACATGATTCCATTTTCTGAAGCAAGGGAGAATGAAATCCCATCTTCCTGCTGCTCCAGGTATTGTTTAGCTAAAACTGCCCATGAATTGAGTTGGCTTCCATAATTTATTAGTTACTGGGAGTCAGTAGCTAGTAACCTATGAAGCTGAGAAATTGTTTTTCCTGAATTTCTACTTGTGGAGGTCTTTCTCCAGGTTCTATTAAGGAGAAAATGCTGAGTTTCTTTAAAAGCTCAAATGAGGACAGTTTGAACCTTACCTAGAAAAACTTCCATTCTTGCAAACATAATAGGAAGAACTGAATACTTAATGTTAGGGATCATATTTAGATATCCAGTAGGTGACAGAAGCTATTCAAAATCCACTAAATCACACTAACATACTCGACAGTGTAGCATCTGGACAAGATAATAGATAGTGGCTCTTTATTATGTCATTTGCCTGTATTATATTTATTTCCCAGAATCAGAAGCATAATACTTTGTGGTTGGAGAAAACATGTATCGCTGGAGCTATTGGCTCTTTGGAACTCAAATCCAATAGATTTATGAACATCAGAGGCAGCCTTTAATTGTCCAAGAAAGTCCTTGCACTTGTTATAAAGTCCTCCCCACCATTCTGCTCTCATGTATAATGTTACTGGGAGCATATGAGCTCATCAGCTTTATTAATAGCTGTAAACAGTTAACAGTTGTTCACAAACAGAGCTTATTGTATGTGCTATTCAAAGGCAGATTTTATCACTGTGTGGAGGAGGTGGGAGTGGGTTATTGATATTACTATTCTTCATATTCTATCTTCATGTACTAGGAATTCTAACTCATTTTTTTCAATAAGGGCTAAAATATGAAGCATGCCTGTCATGGCCCCATCGGAACCTGACTCTAAGAAGGAGGATGAGTGTCGTGGTTCACGAGCAGCAGGTGCAGATGGCTGAGGTCTCTAACAGTGAGGACTCAGATGAGGGGCATGCATGTGATGCAGGGATGGGGCCAGGACTATCAGAGAGTGGGGTGCTGCCTTCGGAGGTTGTGGAGTCTGATAGCAGTGATGAAGAGGACCCTGGGGAGCCTGTGCTCAGTGTGCGTACACACAGGGCTGCTAAAAGGAAAGAGTGGCTGAAACAGCAAGGGGGACTCGGGAGTAAGGCTGGAAGGTGATGGCCTCTCCCATAAGGGATAAAAGCCAGCCTTCAGGATTGGCTTCTTTGCAGGAAGCAAAGAAGTTCTTTATGCTCTGAGTTCTCGTCGAAGCCCTGCTTACTCTGGTTTGTTTTTGGAAGCTTTTTTTGGGATATTTATCTGCAATTAGTCTTTTGTTCTTGGCAGCCTTTCGCAAACTTGAAAGGGCTTGCTCTTATATGGGACAATTAGTTTTGAACGACTCTTGGCTGTGAATGCACAGAATTCACAGCACCTCATTAAAAATGTTTGCTTTTATAAATACTTTGCGTTTGTTTGATTTGAACAAGGCTTGGGTCAGAACAATGAGACAGAGCTAGGGCCAACAGAGGAATGACCGGAGGAACAGGACGAGGCAGTCCTGGGTCCCTCGGGCCAGGGAATGGTCACCGACAAAGGAGACAGGGCTCAGGAGGACCAGGAAAGGGGGGAAGAAAGGGCAGGCAGTGGAGCAGAGGATCTATGGAGCTCTGGCAATGAGCAATTACTTTCCCATGATCCCCGAACACAAAGAATGGAGAGCAAGCGGGATCAGCACAAGGCAAACTGATGACTCAAGGGGAGGGTGCCCTGCCCCTCTTCACAAGGCTTACCTGGGGAATGAGATTTAAAGAGACGCTGTTTCTTTAGGGGTGCTTGTTGGGAACAAGTATTGCTTTTTCCAGCCTCACATGCTTTTACCAATGTCTGGATACTTTGCTGTGTTTTGTCTTGTTTGCCTTGTCTGCCATATTGGCCATCCATACAAGGTTGCAGTGACACAGTTATACTCTGGGTGGTGCTGCACTCCCAGGGTACTCCTCCTGTGACAAGGACACTCTGAAACCAAACTCTCAGAACTGTGCTGCTCCTCTGGTCTCATAGCAGACAGGAACTATTGGAGGTGCGTGTTTTGAGCTTTGCTCCTGGACTTGCAGTGAACAGTGGGACTTTTGGGGGAAAGTGGGAACAATAAAGGGGAGTTAAGACTTCAATCTGGCTGTGTTGTTTCCATGCCCAGCCCTGGGTCATCAGGCCTTCAGTGACTGCCTGTATCACCAGAGGTAGTATTCAGCTGGTTTGGACCAGTTCTGGTGGACCGGTAGTGGAAAATTTGACTAGTTTGGAGAACCGGCAAATACCATCTCTGGTTGGCCCTGCCTATCCACCCCCGCCGTTACCTCTCCTATGTTTTTTTAGGTCAGCTGATTCATGCGGCAGAGCAGATTGCTATGCGAATCAGCTGAACGTGCATGCACAGAACCGGTGGAGACCAATATGGAAACCCACCACTGTGTATTATCCTCAAACGAAATAACCATGCAGCATAGATAATATAAATTGATAAAATTAGATAGATAAAAGTAGCTTGGTCTTTAGAAGATATTCGTTGTAATACCACCACAGAAAAAGCAGAGGAGCAACTGCATCAAAATGGTGAGAGAGAGAAAATGAAATTAGATGGGAAGCTTGTATCACATTGGATTACATGGCAATGCAATAAAGGGTAGTATACCATTATACATTTTCTTGCTGCAATATAATCTATGTAATACTGTATAACATTTATAACATTTAAGAAAAGGAATGGAGGTACACATTGAGACATGGAAATAAATTATATATATCTATGTATCTATGTCTATATCTATCTATCTATCTATCTATCTATCTATCTATCTATCTATCTAT